TTTAATAGAAAGCTATTTTGTATGTATAAACTTAACTGGAGAATACAGATCATTACAGTTTTGATTCTGAACTTTCAATACTCTCATATTGAATCATATTAAGATATGGTATTTTGTCTTTTATCAGTTTAAATCCTCTTGCTCATTGTTAATACACTTTGGCTCTCACCCTTGCCGATGATTTGCACAGGATCCACAGGCCTATGGCTGGATGCTCAGAGCTCAGAGCTCTAGTTACAGGATTTCCCCAGAAGACTTTCTGGAGTGATTCAGATGAGTGAGGACATCAAAAAAGTGCCACCACACACACTCCTTTTCATCCTGCTTCTTGGGGGATAGACTGGAGGTTTAGATGAGTGATATCCTGAAGAACTGAAACTTGATTTGGGGCATATAGAATAAATAAAATCATCTACATTAGTCTGAAAGTTGATACATTAGAAAAACTCTTAGCCATACACATTTAAATGAGACCAATGCTGCAATGTGTGACCATTCTCTATTCATGAAAGAAAGTGTCTTTGAGCAATTGATGATTATTCTTCCTCTAATCTTTGTGACTGTATGTATAGGAAAGATGATCACCAGGAACATCAAGTCAAGCCAGTCTTTTGAAGAGCTCCAACCAGAAGAATGGCTTAGCCTAAGACGAGAAGAAAATAGATTCTGCTCCTACAGTGCTCATCTGATGGCCATTTTGTTGAATGTCTGGGACCCTGGTGGGTTCCATAGAGAATATTTGGGACAGATTTCTCACTGACCATCACCAGCCTCCCTGTGATTCACATAACCAATTATTACTCTCCACAGTTTTGTAAACTTCCCTCTCAGTCCTTCAGCCTCCACCACAAACTTCACAGAGAATGAATGAGAGATTTTGCTGCGACAGCTCAGTCCTGCTCAGTCCTGCTTTCTCCCATGGTCATTGTTTGCACCAGTCCCTGTGATACTGCATAATCACTGAAGAATATGTAGTGGCAAGGGAAGATGGCGTAGAACAATCTATCTAGAGAATATTTGAAACTAAGCTTCACCATGATCCCTTTTCTATCTATTTAGTGTGTTTCTCATATTTGGAACTGTTACTGAACAGGGGAAACTGAGGCTATAAATAGGGTTAGTGCATTAATGCCTTGAAAAACTGTCTATTCCTTATGCCCAATGAAAAAGAAATTCTTATATTCATATTTTTATTGCATTTTCTTCTGATATTCCGTCATGACTGTAATATAGGCTAAAGAGAAGCTGTCCTGCAGTCACCCCAGCTTTGCTTATTACCCCAATGGCAATAGGCACTGAGAAGAAAAGTAGGCAAAATGCCCTGGTGTTCTGCTTCATTTATATGCTCAAAAGAAGTTAACCTTAGTATCTAGTAGCTTATTTCAAAATTATTTGGTTTGACCCACATGCCTTCTGTGTCTATTCACTTTATATCTTTGCAACTTTTGACAGGTGTCCAAGATCTTTCTATCCCTTTCCATTTGTAGAAAATGTAACAAACTAACTAATAATTTTTAATATATATTTTTCTGACATTAATTTTTCTTCTTTATCTATGTCACTAAATTTAATTTAAAAAGTTCAACAGTAATTTTGAATATTTTAACAGTAATTTTGAATAACTTGGAGGTTCTCACATACATAGATAATGTTCAACTTATGATGGTTTGCATTCCAATGGATCAATAATTATTATTCTTTTTCCTTTCCACTATCTCCAAAGCAGTGTGTGCTCAGTAGAAATCTAGAATAATATTTTAAATTCTTATCTTTTCATGGGTGATTGATACATAGTACTAATACTCTTCCTTGATACCGATCAGGGGTAACAAGTCACAATTTCCAATAGACATATATATATAGTATATAGTATATATATATATATATATATAATGTATATATATATATATACACACACACACACATATAGTCTAATCAAAAGAGAAAACGACCACTATATCACAGTGTATCATAATTATACCATGATTATAAAAATAGGCTTTTGTTAGATGTCTTTTCCCAACAGTAGAAAATGGGTAGTGTTCAGAGGCATGTAAGGTAGCTTGGCTACCTAAAATGTTTCTGCAGGATATTCATATTAGATGATTTTTTTTGTTGGTCATGGGGCTTGAACTCGGCCTGGGCACTGTCTCTCAGCTGTTCAGTTGAAGGCTAGCTCTCTACCACTTGAGCCACAGCACCACTTTGGTTTTCTGATTAGTTTATTGGAGATAAGAATCTCACAGACTTTCCTGCCTGGGCTGTCTTTGAACTACTATCCACGCATCTGAGCCTCCTGAGTACCTAAGATTACAGGCCATTCAGGCTATTGTAATACAAGCCACTGGAGCCCAGCTTGTATTATATGCATTTTTGACAAATAATATATCCAACCTACAATGAATTTATCTGGATGTAATGATAGTGATTAGCACAATTTCACTCTATGCTTGATTTTTTAAAACTTTGTAATTGACATTCTATAACATCTTAATAGCCTCTGTGTAGGTTTCTGTATATGTATTTTGAATGTGTATGAAAACAGGTGAAGAATTCCTCCTTAAGTTGATGACCACCCACAGTGGGCATCATTCCCAACGTTGGCTATTCTTTTATTTAACTCTTATCAATTTATTTTTATGAGTTCATCTATTTCCTGATCTCTCAGAATTATTTGAAAAATTGTTCAGGTAAATTCTTTAATTGGTAACTGATTTCCTCCTCACATTGGCAAATTGTGTCTGTCCATTATGTTTTTCTCCATTTTTCTCAAGGTTCATAAGTACTACTCATCTTTTAAAATGTATTTATTTTATTGTAATTATAAAGGTGAATTACAGAGGGATTATTATTATATGAATCAGATGAGTACAGTGATAATGGATAATGAGATAATTTTGTACTATCTCTTCTGTTCCCTCACTCTCTCCCTGTCCCACCCCCATGTCTCCACCTATGAAATATATAAGGTGGTATAGTTTACTTACATCCATGTTTGTGAGCTCCACTGCTGCCCCTATTCACAATTTTTACCTCAAATTCTATACAATTCTGTGGTCCCTCGACCCTCCTGAGTATGTACACTTGAATTCACCATATATAAAGAAAACAGTATCATCAAAAATTGAAAGAAGAAAGACAGATCTTTTGATTTGTATCATTGAGTTCATTTAGATATATATGTATATACATAATTTTATATAAATATGAAGAGGCATGTAGACATTATGCCTAATTGTTTCTCTCCTAAGGGTATTCTCTTTTATTCTGATTTTGTGTAGATATTTAAAATCCTGTATGATTTATCATATCCCAATGTTGTCTTTATAAACAATTTATCGCTAGATTTCTCATGAGCTCAGACTTAGACCAAAACCAATCTGTCCTCATTTTGACCATTCCTTCCAGCAGGTGGCAGGATTTACACACCAGTATCCAGTGAAGATCATTAAAGGTAGGGCTGGCAACGTTGTAGCAATAGGCTCTTGATATATTTAGCCAGTGATTTCTCCAAGCCCTTCACCTGCAGACCTCTGGAACACCAGAGTCAGCATGTGGAAGTTCAAGATAGTAGAAATTTATTCTCTTCACAGGTAGAAAAAGCTCTCACAGGCCTCTGGCCCAAAGCAATTTTTCTGGTTAGGAGGATGAGCTATCAGTCTGCCTTGTTCTTCTCAATACCTGTTACAGACAATTTCTCTGACCTAATCTAGCTTTGAGATTGCTAATATTCCCAGACAGAAAGGAAGAGTCTGGGTATCATCCTATTTATTTGCAAGGGTGAGAACATAATGAAGACCCAGAGAAGATATCATAACACTGGAAGATCAATGAGAAAGAAACAACATGATATATAAAGACATTGTCTCAATGTCCTTTCTCTTACTCACTGATTTGGTTTTGACCACCTTCCATGTGAGACTACATGCTTCTTAATTATTAGTGTTCCACGTGAGGAAGGAGATTTTGGATAAATTAGTCGCCTTGCATTTTTGAATTATTATATGTCATCGTAAGATTGTTAAACATAGCATGTACATTGATAACTTGTGGTTTTAATTCCAAGACTAAAATGTCTAGCTGGGGATAGTGGTATATCACAAATACTGAGGTAATTTTGGTCTATTCTGGTAGCAATAAGCTTTTGTGTCAGAGTCCAAGCTATCAGAGCACAGGACATGGCTTACTTAGGCCATTGTTATAATTGCTCCCTTGTTTTAAGTGTTTTTCTAATTTATATAGTAAAGACAAATAAGGGAAAGTTTGTCTCAGCTTTATACCTGGTCTTAAGGAGAGTCCACATTTGTGAGGATTGGGGGATGGTCAAGAGGCTTGAACTATGGGCCTAGGCGCTATCCCTGAGCTCCTCAGCTCAAGGCTAGTGCTCTAGTACATGAGCCATAGTGCCACTTCCAGTTTTCTAGTGGTTAATTGGAGATAGGATTCCAACTGACTTTCCAGCCCAGACTAGCTATGAACCATGATCCTCAGATCTCAGGGTCTTGAGTAGCTAGGATTACAGGTATGAGCCATCGGGGCCCAGTGAGAATCCACATTTTACTTTATGTTTATATGTGTGTGTTGGAATAGACTGAACATAAAAACAGTTTATATCTCTCTTCTATGGCAGTGAGAATGTTCCAATGCATAAAGATATTAAACCAGTTTAAAATGTCCAGAAACTCTATTCTCTCCATATCATCACTTCCTCCATATAAGGAATATAAAACACTCGTTTTGCCTTTATCTTATCCCATTCTAGAGTCATTACAGAGAATTGAGATTAGGACACACAGGAAAAGCAGGTCCTCATCCCTGCAGGCACCAATAGAACTATGCACAGGACAGCAGACTGATTGTGACTTGTCCTGTTTGAATCATATTCTCTAGTCAAAAACTAAGACACATGGGTACCATGGACCTATGATGATTTCCTGAGATGAGCCAGCCTTGCAGCTATATCCATCTTTGTCCAGCCCTGCTGATTTGCATTTGCCTAGATCACATCCTACTGCCACAATGACTTCATAATAAGCTGTTCACACCTGTGCAGCAGTCAGTCCCCGTCAGCACACAGCATGGACATGAGGACCAATGCTCAGCTCCTGGGGCTCCTACTGCTCTGCTTCCCAGGTAAGGAGGATAATACTTCTCTCACCCTGTGTGGTCAGTGATGCCTGTGGCTTCAGGGAAGTCCTGTAATAACATGACTAATAATGTGGATATTTGCTTTTATGTTTCCAATGTCAGGTGCCAGATGTGACATCCAGATGTCTCTGTCTCCATCCTCCCTGTCTGCATCTCTAGTAGAAACAATCACCATCTCCTGCAGAGCCAGTCAGGGTATTAGCAAATTTTTAGCCTGGTATCAGCAGAAACTAGGGAATGCTCCAAAGCTTCTGATTTCTTATGCAACTAGCTTGGCCTCTGGGATTCCATCCAGATTCAGTGGCAGTGGATCTGGGACAGGTTATTCTCTCACCATCAGCAGCCTTCAGCCTGAAGATTTTGCCACTTATTACTGTCAACAGCATATTAATTACCCTCCCACAGTGATACAAGCCATGATAAAAACTTCCCAGGAAAGCAGAAGTGAGATACTGGCCTGCCCCAACTGCTTCTCCTAGTTCCTCTACCTATTGACAGTGCTTCTCAGAAGCAGCCAGATTCTAAAGGAAGAATTTTCTCTACAATCTAATATTCTGTTCTTCTTAGCTCTAGTAAAATACCCATGGCACTGAGTCTCTCATTTAATAGTTGAACCAGTCGTTACATATGAGGAGTGCCCATCAATTATTTTGGACATTCCACTTCACTAAATTATAAAATAGCTTATTTTCAATCAATTACTTCATAGATACTAAAACAGCTACTCAAATACAAATGGTTGTTTTGAGGTTTTCTGAAGTTACGTATTAAAGAATCTACAACACAATTTATGCTGGCCACTGATATTCTGCAAGTTAATGTCTTTCTTTCCTCTCTAAACACATCTTTATTAAGTGATATTTTGATTTCTTACTTCCCAAATATCCTGCTTACAGGAAAAAAATATTTCTATAGTCTGTCCTTCAATGGTTATGAATGTCCTAACCCCTGCCTCATTCAAGCCAGCCTAGATTAGAAGTTCCAATTCTATTGGCAAATCTGTCCTCTTCAACTTAATTTCCATTTGTTAGAAATGGTATCTACTACTTTTGCTCAGAAGAAACATAATTCAAGAGCAAGATGATCTCAAAGACAAGGAAGAAATGAGATAATATCAGAAAAGTGAGGATTTAGTGTTTCAAGAAGCTCATGCAAGCTCCCAAGTGTGTGCTCAGAATTATGATTGTAAAAGTTGGAATTAAGAGGCCTCACATCTTAGCACAATTCTCAGTTCCATTTGTTTGTAATTAATAATCGTCTCTTAGAAAAAAAGATAAAGATGAGTTCTGACACAATGGCCTTCTATTGGCATCTTCAGAGAGTCAAAGACCAGGAGAGGGAAGGAACCAGGACCAGCAGCACATCAGCAGTGTTGAACTTGGGTTCAGAGTACTTCAGAAGCTGAGAGGACTAAACTGGTACCCCCCTCACCTCCCCACACACACTGATTCATGGCTCAATCTAGCAGGATCAAAGGCACAAACTCTTGTGAGGAAAAATCTCATTACAGCCCTCAATTACCTATAATAGGTTTTAAAAATTTTTTAATGTGTAATTCATATAAATGTAAAGCTTATGAAATTTGGTCTATTTTATGTCAATATTCATATTATCAATATGCTTTCAATGCAAATGCACAGAAAAGCAGTCAACAAAGCCATTTTAAACTATACAGATTGTTAAAATAATAGGATGTATATGTTAAATACATTGAGTGACAAAGTGGAGAATATATTCATTTTGTCAAAGCTTCCTGACTCCTATACAAGTGTTCTACCACATGAGCCATTCCCCATACATTTTTAATTTTTAGACAGGTGTCATGCTTGTACCTTAATTGGGCTGGCAATGCACTTTCACATTCAGACTTTGTATTCTCATAATATGAAAAAATGAGTTTGGATCTTTTCACTGAAACTAAAAATTCAGGATGAACTTGGGTTAGGAAGGGTTCAAGATTTCTCTTTCGTCCATGATCATAAACCAGGCACCACTCTGAGACCCAGAGATTGTAAATAGATATAAGTTGAGTTCTAGATAGAACAATGCCTTAAAAGAGAAATTTCTACTGCAGTTCTAATTTCTTTATGAAGTGTACAGTCAATAGATGTTTACAATTATCACTGGGATTGCAAAGAGACTCTAGAAAGCTCTTGACAATGTATAATGTCATTAAGATATTAGAAAAGAATCAAGACTTGAGACAAGCTCTTCAAACACCCAGAGGCAAGGCTGGACAACAGTTAGACATACAGTCACTGGATCAGATTCCACAGATCACAAGGATTCCCCAGAGTTCTGATCCTTTCTTGAATAGAGTACCTGCATCCTCCCTGGGAGGAGATCAGAACACCATAGCTGGGGCTGTGCCACCCTGTCCTTAGTCTTGTTTCAACCCGATTACAAATTCCAATGTATGAAAGTCATTGGTCTTAAAATTAACAGACTTCATTTTTTAAGTTTCCACATCTAGCAATCCCATTTAAATAATCAGAAGTTGCCATAGTGTCATCTTGAATGCCGAGCTTACTCCAACCAATTCAGTTACTTCCCAAACATATCTGTGCCTCCCTCTCACACCTAGACTAATGCAGAAACAAAGAGATATTTAAAATGATTCACAATGCTACTCAACCTTCACAGCAGCTATCCTTTCTCTCCTTTGCTACTTTAGGGTACTAGTTCTGATCTGCAGGTATAGAAAGTAGAGGTGAGCCCCTCTCATTTCCGGGCAGTAACAGAAATTTGGGCACATGTAATAAGAAAGAGATGTAAGAGGACTAAGGGACAGGTGCTTAATGGGATGGAGCTTGAAAGTGATTTACCTTGAATCTGATCTGGAATATTAAACGAACTATGGATGTACTACAGCCCTTTTGAGAACATGAGACATTAACACAGTATGGCATTTGAGAAAATAAGGCATTAAAAACCCATAAGGGAGCTGGGCACTGGTAGTTTTGCCAGTAATTCTAGCTACTCAGCAGTCTGGGATATGAGGATCACAATTTGAAGCCAGCTGAGACAAGAAAGTCAATGAAACACTTATTTCCAATTAACTACCTGAAAAACAGAAATGGAGCTCTAGTGGTAGAGCACTTAAGCCTTGAGCAGAAAAGCTCAGGGACAATGCCCAGGCACTGAGTTCAAACCCCACAGTGAAAAAAAAATACATGGTCATTGTGACAAGTCACAAATAATGAAGTAACTTTGGCCTTTTCTGGTAGCAACAAGCTTTGGCTCCAGCCATCGAGCCATCAGACATCAGGACATGGCATACTTGAACCAGTACTATATTGCTCTTAATAATTTTCTATCTTATGAAGTAAAGTAACATAAATAAGGAATAACTTGACTCAGTCTTATATCTAGTAGAGGAGAAGCCATCATTTTTTTAGTTGTAGGGCTAGAAATCTAGGTCTAGGTAATGCCTTCAGCTCTTTAGCTCAAGGCTAGTGCTCTTCCACATGAGCCACAGCACCATTTCTGGGGGGATTTTTTTGGTGGATTATCCGAGATAAAACTCACAGACTTTCCTCTCTGGGCTGACTTTGAACCATGATCCTCAAATCTCAGGCTCCTGAGCAGCTAGGATTATAGGTGTTAGCCTGTAATCATATTTTATCTTGTGTTTATATGTATGTTTTGGAATAGACTGAAGCATGAGTTCCTCAAAAATATAGCAGCTTATTTTTCTGCCCTGTCAGTCACATGATGCAATGCCTAGAGAAATTAGAATAGTTTAAATGACAAACTCTATTTTCTCTTATGTTCACAGGTATTTTGATATTCTGAGCTTGAAACACTCAATTTTCTTATTAATCCTCTCTTTCATGTCATTACATAAAATTGAGATTAAGGCACTCAAGTAAACCAGGTCTTCACCCTGAAGGCACCAAGAGATATATTCATAGGACAGAGGATTGATCATGACTTGTGATGTGTAGGTAAATCACATTCTCTGTTCTAAACTAAGATCCTTGGGCTCCATAGACTTGTGATGATTTCCTGAGATGAGCTATTTCCATCTTTTTTGCATATGCCAAGATCACAGCCCACTGTCACAATGACTTCATATTGGCTGTTCACACCCTGTTCAGCAGTCAGTCCCAGTCAGCACACAGCATGGACATGAGGGCCCCTGCTCAGCTCCTGGGGCTCCTCCTGCTTTGGCTTCCAGGTAAGGAAGGATAACATTTCTCTATCCATTATGGCATGTGCTTACTGGGCTGTAGGGAAATCCTGTAATAACATGAATATCTGTGGATATTTGCTTTTATGTTTCAAATGCCAGGTGCCAGATGTGACATCCGGATGACCCAGTCTCCCTCCTCCCTGTCTGCATCTCCAGGAGACACTGTCACCATCTCCTGCAAAGCTAGTCAGGGTATTAGCAATTATTTAAACTGGTATCAGCAGAAACCAGGGAAAGCTCCAAAGCCTCTGATCTATAACACTTCAAGGTTGGCCTCTGGAGTCCCATCCAGGTTCAGTAGCAGTGGATCTGGGACAGATTATTCTCTCACCATCAGCAACCTGCAGCCTGAAGATTTTGCCACTTATTACTGTCAGAAGTACGATAGTAAACCCACCCACATTGATACAACCCATAACATAAACCTCCCAGGAAAGCAGAAATGAGAGGTTAGGCTGCCCCTGCTGCACTTTCTGGTGCCTCTACCTGTTGACAGTGTTTCTCACATGCAGCCTAGCTCTCACAACTATTGCAAGCTTTTCATTCAATTTTCTGGGAAGGCTACTCTGTATCTCTGTCTCATTTCTCCCCCTCAGTACCAGAAGCACAGACATGGCCATGTCTCCTCTCATATTAGGGCATCCTTTGTGATTTACATAGTAAAATACAAGCCAGTCAAAAATTCTCAAAGCAGGACTTGTTTTAATATAGGAAATGAGTCTAGTCATTAGCTTCTGTTCTTCTAGTTAAATAGAGAAGTTGGAACTAGGAGTGAGGAATTCTCCAGTTC